ACCATGTGAGCTAAGAGTGCAATATTAGCATCGTAGCTTCCCGAGACTTCCCACAGGGCGGAAGAAGGCAGTAAGTGAAGCTGAATGCATGTATTCCAAAGAGGACAAAGTATCTGGACCAGCCCACAAGTACAAGGCCCTGACAAATCCTAATGTGAGCGCCGAACGTCAGGTAGTCACATAAACAAAGCTTTATAAGCATATTTATTTTCACGCATTTCGCAAGTAGAATAACTAACTCAAACAAAGTTGTTCCAAATAATACTACCTGCTATTACTCGTACAGCGCTCTGTTCTATTCAAATATTAGTCAAAATTCGTATTCAAATAATTAAGATAACTAGATTTTGTGCCATCATTGCTGTCGTAATAGCTTATGTGAAATGTTTGTTTAACTGTCTTGAATTAATTATAATTTGGGTGGGAGTTGATTGGTGTTATTGTGAATTTTTCGACATTTTTAACTTGATGAGCTTGTGTTCGAACGTTGGTTTATTTTTGGCAAATGAAAAAAAGGAATTTCTTGCCTAGTATTTGCATCTTGTAACTTCTAAGATTAGTGCAACGAAATACTTTGAAATGACTGGAACGTTCTCCAACCAGGACCTCTTAAAAGATTCCGTATCTTCAAAGAATGAAGGCGATCTATGTTGTTGCATTACTCCAGATCAGTTTGTACTTATACACTTTGGATATTACTGTTGGTAAAATGGTAGATTTCTGGTGATTGTCATTTTCGGAAACTGAACCTTTCCACGCTTCTCTTCACTAAATTAAGTGGAATTCGTGTTCCATTGAATGCTTCAAATGATCCAGTTATGTCTTTCTTTAATAACAGTTTTCTAGGACCCTGCATGCAGTGTTTTGCGTAATTGTATGGAGTCCAATTTTAATCAGGTCTGTACATATGCCTCGCGAATAATTCAGTGGTTATCTTACTGGAATGTGGATCTACCGCCTTGTGTATCTGCACTGTTATTTGCGCTTATACCCTATTTTAGCGTTTAAATGATGCATTCAAGGAGTATTTTAGGGAAAGTTATAGTGAACCAAAGCATTTAGATGGGGCTGATGCCATGGACTTCGGAGCCATTAAGGGCGTCTTGAGGTCTCTCCGTGAATACATACAAACTAATCCGAGTCTCACTACCACTGATGAAGCTTTTGCATTGATATCTGAAATGGCTGATCGTGTGTGTGTAAGTACCTTGTTGATCACTAGATGATGGGCTCTCTCTTGCGAACCTCATCCATTTTGTCGACTATGACATGTCACTCCTCTTTTTACTCAATTTCCACGTGGCCAATTTGTAATCATCACTAGTATGGTTTTACTTTCAATGTGTACTATTCCTTGTGTTTAGGGAGTTAACATATTATTTACTACCCGCCAAATTAAGAATTTGCAGACATCTCGAAGTCTTTAGAAGTTGTTATAAGTGTTAATTTCTTGGATTTCCTATAAACTCTCTGTGTTTGGGTAACTTTGGTGTCTGAACGGCGTCATTATGACTAAGGAAATGAATTAACTGATTTATTTTAGGAAACTCTGGGGAAAATAGATGCTCGTTTGAATTTTGAAGAAGTTTGTGGTTTGATATGCACGATTGCCGGACTTGAACTTTCTCTCATGAGGGATCGTCGACCAGGACAATCTCTGGAACTTGAAAAGCGCCGTATTTGTAAGCTTCTTTCTTGAATGATACTTTGATCATAGGTTCAAGCAAGGAGTTTTGTGACAGATATAGGCTGAAGTTGTTAGGACGGGTGATTTCTGATAGAATGAGATCCTCCTTTGTGTTTGAGGTGACCCGTACTATAACAGAAGCTTGTACATCGACGAGGCTAGCAACTGCTTCTCGCACATTTTCTTTTTCAAGGAATGCAGCCTCGAATGGTTCTGTCCAGTTTGTTCTGCTTTATATGCGCTACTTTGCCTCGGCATCTTTTGGGAAGTTTCTAACTCCGGATGTTTCCGTCACTAATGAATTTGCTGACCGGACGCAGGCAATCATCGCCACTGCTTGCACAGCTTGGCTTTCTACTGTTGGAGCTGCTGTAGGGTTAGCAACCTCGGGACTCCTATTAAGTTCTGTAAAGTTGCCTTCATTTGTACCTATTGTTGTTGAGTGCTACTTTTTGGGCTAGAGATGTGTATATCCGACCTTATCGTAGATAGACGCCATTTATCCTCGGCGCTTTGTTCCATTATTTATCTTTAGGGTCCAAATAATCCAAGTATCATCTAGTAAAGTAGTTGCTCAGCTAGCGTCTAAATAGATACATTGTTGCGAAGTCAATGGAACGAATTCTTCAATTAATACTACAGTTACTGCAATAATCGAAGATGATTCGGCTCACATGCACATAGATTTTAAATCACTTAACCTTTTTGTATTTCATGCAAATTCTTGTTTTCATAGAGCGTCGCGCACTTATGTGAAATCGTCCTAGACAAGCTGTTACCAACGATCCTTGCATTTGTGATGTCATCTGACACAAATGATGGTGAATCTTTTACTGACATTGTTCTTGCGTTGTTTAATCCCTTGATTAACTTCTTCTCGGGAGCTACTGAAAACGGGAGTCTAGCCCACCAGATTGTTGACATAATGGTGGTCAGAGGAAATTTAGTCTGCGGCAGTGATGTTCAAAAACACCTCAAGAGGATGTCTTCAGCAATCACTGATCTTTTGGTCTTTCGTACGCTCTGCGATATCTTGTGCTCAGTTCTTCAGGATACCAATCTGACCATAGTAAATGGAAAATCATCAAACGCAGTTGACTTTCTCGAAGAAATGTAGGTTTTACATTATGTCCACTTGTTATGAAACTCTCGCATTGGCTATAGTCAGACTCATGATTGGATTAATGTCATACGTTCATTTTTGCTTACGTGAATTGTGGAGATTTATTCCACTTCCATCCTGGTCGCCTTCGAAAACTTCTAACGTCATACCTTAAAGGAGTGAATTTTGAACTACATTTTCAGAACATTAAAAAGGCACGAGTTTTAACATTGATTTATGTATCTTAGAATCTAGGGTTAAATGCAGTACTAATTCTTCTTGTCAACTATATTTCATTTAATTTTTTGCAGAGTGTTTACTTTAACTCAATTTGGGAAGCAATTTGATTCCATTATTCGTCAGCTTGCAGACCGCATTGCAGAAGTTGCCGTTCAGCACTCAAAAATCATTTGTATTGACACTTCTTCATATCAACCTGTCGAAAAGCTACTAAGAGCTCTTAGCATAGGAGAGATTGATTTGGCTTCTTCTGCTGACAGAAGGCCCGAAGTTGGCCTCAGTGAGTGGAGCTTCTTTATGAATGAGCTGTGGAAATTGTTTTGCGCCACATGCCCCGCAGGCCTTGCTCGGCAGATGTACACTCGAGTTGCAGCCGAGACGCTTTTGCATATTGTCCATGTGGTGGCCAACTCCACTACAAAAAGCGGTGATGAAATCAAAAACATGGCGTAAGCAACTCGGACCCACTTTTTTGATTTGCCTGAAATCCTTTCTTTTGGATTTTTTGCTCTTAAATTACCCACACAAACTGTCTACTCTGCATTTTTGGTTCTGAACCTGATTTAACCATTTTTGACTTCTGCTTTCTGGAAGCTCTTAACCACATTTAAAGTCACTAATGTATTCAGAGTTCTAACAGCAGCTAAAACATGTTCTCGAAACCGAAGGTTCTATTTTTTTACATTTTGGGATTATCGCTAAGCTAGATTGATTGAGATAAATTTCGAAAATGCATCTTTTTTGTCGTCCCAAAGGTCATTCGTTTGGAGCGCATTAAAGGAAACTCATCAGCTGATATTCCGCTGTGTGGAAACGGAGGCAGAAATTTTCGGCCATGGTTTGCTCTCAAGTGACTTGCAAACCGTGCACTCCTCTGCATTAATGCTTACGCAATGCCTTGTCGTGTTCGGTGCACCGGCAGAAATCATTAACAAGTAGCTAGAATGTGCCTCATATGTCATCGCTGGGGCCTGAGCAGACGGTTGTTGTACTTTTTCTTTCTTCTAAGGGTACACTCGAAAGGATTCTTTTCCGAACTCAAGAATGGTTCATTTTCAATGTCATTCGAGCCTAGCAACTGGCTTAAGATAGTCGACCCTCGCCGATTTCGTCAATCTTCCAAGGAGGCACAGGAGTAAGTACTGTTTATGCTTTTTTGCTTTCTTATTAGCCATTATTTTGATCCTCTAGACTCTTGGTTATGTTTCGACATTTCGGAAGCAATCCGTACTTCGATCCAGTGACTGCTCTGAAGGTGAGTTGTTGTTTTGGGATTAAAACCATATGACTTTAACACTCCTTTATGAAAATAAGGTTGCAACTTACAATAACTGTGGGCACTTCTCGAATCTTACCTCATTAGGAATGATGTGATGTCGGATGTTCGGCTTTTTCATTGCATTTTATTTACTACCTGAGTTTTGTGTGTGCTCTCTGTGCCTTTACAATTGCTGCTTTTCAAATGGCTTGTCGACTGATGGGTGTTATAGATGTGAGCACACAAAGTCTAAGTAAAAAGTAAATCACCCTGAGTTATGCATTCGAATTTTAGTCGAATATTAAGCATTCTTCCATTGCCTGATGCATTTGTAGCTCACCTTCTTCGATGATGGCGAACTCCTTAAGCCGTTGCTACATTCCTCCTTGTGGGTCAATTCGGAACAATCATGCCCTGATAGAGAATCTATTTTTGCCGTGTATAAGGCGTGTTTTGAGCTGTTTGCTATCGCTGACTTCAAAAATAACTGTTACGGCAACATTTTAGCACCTCTTTTTGAAAGGTGAATCAGAGGATCTCTGATAGCGATTCCTCAATTTTTATGCATCCACTTTAAAGTCCGAATATGTTTATTATGCAATGGGGGCTAACTTTAAGTTCTTTTCAAATAGCAAAGATATCGGTGCCCTGGCTATCGAAAGTTCATCACCATATCTCGTATGGTTTGAGGCTTTTATTGACTTTATTGCGGACTTAATGCAACCGTGAGTTATACTCTTCAGTTCCCACTATTTCCCGCACTTATCCACAACCTTCTAGGATATTTAAGAAACTCTGTGATTTGGCTCTTGATTGGACAATAGTAGCAGAAATCAGAACTAGCTTTATTGCCGATATTGGTTGTGAGAGAGATGGCCTCTCCTCTGGATCTGCAGACGAAACTATTTTGCGCTCATTTTCACCTGACTTCACGCTACAATGCATTGAACTAATAGATGAGCTCTACTCTATTGCAATGGAAAAATTGCCTCCAATGTTGCTAATGTTCTTCGGCCAGCAAGATGCTGCGCTCAGCCATCAAGACGAAGCTCATCCATCTTTAGGAGGGTCCATTGGGATCTCGGTCATTCTCGCGTCTCTTAAGCGACGAGTAGACAACAGTTCACTAAATAGCAATGTAAAACTCGAATGCCACAGAATTTTTTCTAAGAT